TTGCATTTAGTTTTTTTATGTTAGCTTTAATTTCGCTTAAAGCATATCCTAAGTCATGTTCCACATTTAGAAGGATTCTGGTTTTTGTCTTCAGTGTAATCACAGTTGAAAATACACTCTCACATTTATAGGTAGTGGCAAAGAGTATTGGCATTTTTAAAGCTCTGTTAGCTAGAGCAGGATATTCGGTACCAGCTTTTCGCCAAAATGTGCTAAGATCATAATTTTGAAATTCTACTTTGCAAGTAGTCTTGTGGCGTAGTCCAAGATATTCCACTTTGGTCGCCAGGTCTTCGTCTTTGAAAATGTAATCATTCGTAGTAAATGGTCTTAATATCCAAGAACTGGACTGACGATTATCCATATCCGGAAAATATTGCCTCAGTGAGTTTATTGCTGCAGATAAATGCGGAACCACAGAATTTTCAAATGTGATCTTGTGTGGTTCAAGATTTACCAATTGTGCATACAGTTGCATAAACATCGACACCTTTATAATTTTATATTTTTACTATCTAGCTACGTATTTTAGGTCTTAATTATTAGGTTCTCTGTTACCCCCACAGAAAAATTGATTTACCCTCGCAGGGGTAATTACCTTCAGGTTCGAAATCACTGCCCTAACGCATAAATTGACCTTTTATACAAACAAAATAGTACAAGGTATTTGAACGATTGCCTCCATGCTTATACAGACTAAGAACAGTTACTCCGAGAACATTCTTGTATATGTCTTTTTTTTTAAACAGTGATAAAGTTTCTGTATTTTTATATTTAGTGTTAATATCTATTAAAGCAAACTGATAATTTCAAATACTAAAAATGTTTTGGCATTAGAGATCTCGCGACTCAATAGCGATATACCCTGACGATACTCTGTTGAATTCCTCATTATGATGATTTTCTAATGGGAAATTTTGCACACAATTTTTTTTTCCCATATTGGGTGCAAGTGCCATTGTGATCACCATCAGTCGCAATTGCTAAAATGGTTCTAAATACAGAAAGTACAAGCTTATAACCAACTGTGTGTGTTTATCATTTTTGTGTTTCTTTTTTGATTCTGAGTTCTACATTTAGCTATCTTAATCTCAATAGTTTGATATGTACTAAAAACTGCAATATTTGTAACGTCTAAATGGCAACCTTATATATTCTTATTACATTGTATATAATTAACAAGATAATGATCGGATCAAGTGGTGACCATGAAAATTTATTACGATGACGTCTTCGGAAAGAAAATTGCACATCAAATTGTTTGCATACAATTCACGGTCGAATGCATGAATGATAAAAAGAGAAAGAGATTGAATGCAACGCATTATATATTCGATATGGACCGAAAGAGGAGAAGAGAACGATAAAATTGTTTTTTGTGTAATTCGTAATTTGATATTAAAACCGAATATTGGTTTAACAGAGATAAGGTCATGGAAAAGAGGTGACAACATTTTCTATTATCGTGAATCCAATTCTAAAGAAATGCAATCAGAGAATCGTCCATTACGTTCACGTTTCACGTTTTTTTTTTTAACGACGGGGAGATGATATCTTTAAAGCACAGAAATGATTGGCTGTTTAGGGGTTGATGGGCTTTGTGGTATTCATCCCCCTACGAATCGTTCCATTTAATTTTCAATTCTAATCTTAAATTGCGATTGCCTTTGTTGATTTCAAAACCCATTTATGATGGAATTAAATTTAAATAAAAAGAATTCTTCGAAAAAAATGATAGTATCAATTAGAGTAACGTCAAATAATCATAATTTCAAAGAACGTATTACAGATTTTTTTAAAAGAATTTTAAATGAAAATAAAAGAACTTTATGCACATTGATATGTTAATCTTCTTCTGTATTACAAATAAAGTAAATAATAACGGAAATTCGAAAAAGTTACTGTTGTAAGTACAGGGCGTTGTCTAAATAAGATAGGTAAGCAGTAGATAACACTACGAATTATTAAGTGATGGTTTGTTTTGTGTTTGTCTTAATACACTTGCTAATAAAGACATATACAAAATAACAAATGTTTACTAAAAACAAGACCATATCAGTGATTAACGAAACAAAAATTTGTAATTACATCAAAGCAGTTTTCAGAACTGATACATCACAATTAATAATAAATGAACAAATTCAAATTTTGTTTATCCAGACGGGTAAGATGACATAACAAAACAAATTGAAGGTGACAGATTTTTTCCTGTTTATCTAGTATCTATTAACAAATAACGTTATTTATCGATAAAATTATGTCTACTCCTGTTCTAACCAAAACTGAAAAACTCTGTTTTAAAATGGCCCAAACAAAATAGCCGATCATCACCATCGCAGTACCAATTAGTTTTTGTCTTATCCCAAAAGTTTAAACGATTCTAAAAGATATACCAGAGAATTATCATACGTACTAAATAAACGGGTTGTGTAGACGCCGAAGTCAGTCAGGATGCGTCCTGATTCCGCGAAAACTAGGACTACAGCGTTTAATAAAACTATTTCAGCGCGAACGTGATCGCCAGTATAACGTCAGTACAACCTAATAAATAGTATACAAATGTCTACGTCACATGTAAAGCTGTTTAATTATGTTTAAATAAAAATTGGACAAGCGCTATTTACAAGCTTTTATCTCGGGGTTACGTGAGTATAAGATCGATTACAATTAATGCACGAGCGGTACTTACAAAGAGATCTAGAGGAATCATTGATTAATCATATCGCATGCTTTTATGTTGTTGTAAACCACGGCCTGAGAACAAGTCTTCCGAAGCACAATTAGCATACCTCTTCCTATAAATACATATACATTTATATACACGTCTATGTACGTACATGCATACATACATACGAATAATAAAACGCTTTACGATACCACACAATACTGACGGGGTTGAAGAGATGCACGGATTGTAATTTTGCCGAGTACCCAGCAAAACCACTACGGTTAATGGCTCATGTTTTCGTTCCGGCGGGCTTTCTGATAAATGCCACCCTCACCTACGTCCTAAACCATATTAAGTCTTCTTCAAAGAGTCGTTTAAACACTGAACAAATGAAATTTTAATTCTTGGTTGGCGAATTTTTAACGAAAGCGTCGAGTTGAAACCGTTGAAATGAGCCTATGATATTATTACTACTAATCACACTAATAAGTTATTGTTAATCAAAACCTGATATACCAGCAAGAGACAGAAATTGTAATAATTCTGTTATACTGATGTATTCTTGTTCATAAGAAAAATAAACACAAGAACTATATCGGAACAACAAATAATTTAGTAAACAATCAATACAACTTAATACAAATGGTATATCCCGATACAAACTTAATTACCAGTTTTCATTGGGTAGTTCTTTTGTTAAACTTCATCATCATCATCATAAGGTCGTCAGTCCTAAGACTGGTTGGACACGCACCTCCACTCTTTCCTATCGTGAGCCAAACTTCGCATTTCTCTAAAACTACATAACTATAACCTACATCCTTAACTATTTGCGAACAGTTACCTAATCTAAGTCTACCTATACCCATCCTAACTCCCGTTTCTGCCTCTAATATGTCTTTGACTAGATCTTCATGCCTGAGAAGGTGTCCTACCAATCTATCTCGCCTATTTTTTATTGACTTCCATAGTCCTCTGTTCACCTAGTCTTTCTAATATCTCGTCATGTCTAATCTTCTCTATCCACAGTATCCTCATCATTCGCCTGCAACACAACATTTCTAACGATTCTAAACTTTTATTTTCCGCAGCGGCCATCGTCCATGTTTCGCACCCGTACTGTGCCGCACTCAAACCAAAACCAAACCTACACCTTTAACGATATTTTTCGAATTTCTAAATTAACCGTTTGCGACCATAGAAGTGACTTCTTTTTGTTGACGGCGACTCGATTGCACTTTTTAAATTATTATTGCTAGTGTTTATTTTCTCTTTTGTTTATGCTAGAATTACCCGGCAGTATGGGGTAGCCGGCGTCATTATCCGGTACTCGGCCGGATCCTCTGAGTACCAGATTCAGACCAGGTACCCGGCCCATCACCAGTGAAAACGAGATGAAAATTAATACTACTAAAATATTCAAAACATTGAAACAAGAATTGAAAAGCAAAATGCTTCTAATTTACATTTACTTAATAAACAATTGAATAAACCATATCAGATTATGTTAAGTATTGTACAACTTTCCAGTAAATTAGCTTTTTAAAGCACACCTCTATTAATGTGGGTGTAAAAATAAGTTTTAATCTGTTTTTTACACATTTATAAGTTGTTATCTTTTAATGCATTTCAACTATATCCAGCGTCTTATCAGTTGATGCCATTGAACCGTAGTTAAAACAAAGTTTTGATCATAAAGCGTTTACATTCGTATATCGAATTGTTAAAAATAAGCGTGTTCCTATACAAATTTTTATCATTAATTTAAAAAATATATTCATATATAACGGAAATTCGAAAAAGTTACTGTTGTAAGTACAGGGCGTTGTCTAAATAAGATAGGTAAGCAGTAGATAACACTACGAATTATTAAGTGATGGTTTGTTTTGTGTTTGTCTTAATACACTTGCTAATAAAGACATATACAAAATAACAAATGTTTACTAAAAACAAGACCATATCAGTGATTAACGAAACAAAAATTTGTAATTACATCAAAGCAGTTTTCAGAACTGATACATCACAATTAATAATAAATGAACAAATTCAAATTTTGTTTATCCAGACGGGTAAGATGACATAACAAANAAATAAGGAAGATGAAATCTAATACTGCGACATGATACGTAATTATCTAATATTTACTATTTTGAAGGTCATCAATAATTATCTATTTTATGTTGTGCTACTCGCGTCATTCTTGATAATATACAGAGTTTAGACGAATATAAAAGCCGAAATGTTGAAAGAAACTGTACAGTAAATAATATTTACTAATGTAGGATAACCCATCAACTTATTTTCAAGGTCTCGGGCAGTTTCTTATTTACTATAAAAAGCGTACAACTGCGTTTAAGTCGGCTTTCATCAAGTGCAATTGCAGCAGTACAAGTGCAATATGTTTCTGTTATTAGTCCTCGCGGTGTTAGCGTTATTGTACTATTTGTACATCAAACCTTTGTGGTATTGGAAAAGCAGAAATGTCCCGTTCGAAAATCCTGTTCCTGTATTTGGAAACATGATGAAACCTACTTTCAAACTGGAACATATCATCACAGTTATTCAGAGGATGTATAATAACAGCAAAGATTCACCGTAATTATTCCAATCTATTTCATGGAAAAAGTCAATGTCTAAATCTTATTTGTTCAATAGAAAAATGTTTTACCATGTTACATTTAGATTTTTGGATTGTTCAGGTCCTGGACCTGGACTAGTTAAACAATTTATGGTCAAAAATTTTATAGTATCTATTCCAGCACCTGTAATTATGTAGTTTTATATGCTTCATTGTTACATACGTGTGCAGGCCCTTATCTCATCTACATATTTTATTACAGATATTTTGGATTCTTGAACTTTCAAAACCCAATTTTGGTTTTAAAAGATCCTGAACTAATTAAAAAGGTGACGGTTAAAGATTTTGATGTTTTTCCACGCCACCGTGCTATGGCCGACGAAAAAATCGACCCGCTTTGGAGTAAAAATTTATTTTCGGTTCAAGGCACGTATTTCAGAATATTTCACAGCAGACTAGTGTAGCTAATTTTTTTTTGTTTTCTTAACTTGTTGTCGTTTTTAGAAGTTCAGAAATGGCGTCACCTACGAGCAACTTTATCTCCTACATTTACAGCCAATAAATTAAGAATGATGTTTGATTTGATGCAAGAGTGTGCCAAAAACTTTACAAAACACTACCTCCAGCAAGAAGATGAAGTTGTTGAGGTGGATATTAAAGACGCCTTTCGGCGTTATGCTACTGATGTGATTGCAACAACTGCTTTTGGAATTACCTGTAATTCAGTGAAAGATCGAAACAATGAATTTTACATTATGGGCTTGGATGTTAGTAATTTCAATGGCATTCGGGCCTTAAAATTCTTTTTGTACAGCAGCAGTCCGGCTATATGCAAAGTATAAACTTAACGGAGTTTTAGTATCAAATGAGAAGAAGATTCTCTTTCCAGATACTGCGGCTTGGAATTTTTGGCAAAACCGTTTCGAATTTCTTCAGGAAAATTGTGTCAGATAATATTCGAATGCGTGAAGAACAAAGTATCGTCAGGCCAGATATGATACATCTCCTAATGGAGGCAAGAAAAGGAAAGATGAAGAAAGAAAAACCGGAACCTGTAGACCTAGACGTAGATAGTTTTGCAGCAGTAGAAGAATCGGAAATGGTAAATAAAGAAGCTAGCTGGCAAATGGAAATTACTGACGAAGATATCACAGCTCAGGCAATGGTGTTCTTTTTAGGCGGTTTCGATACTACATCCAGCATGATGAGCTTTGCCATTGCGGAGCTTGCTGTAAATCCTGAAATTCAACAGAGATTAAGAGAGGAAATAAACGACGTGGTTGAAAGAACAGGGGGGAAAATAAAGTACGAAGATATTAACCGTATGAAATACTTCGACATGGTTATATCAGGTATTTTCTCATCGACTTCTTCCTGGGCTGCTTTGCGGTGGTTCCATCGAATTTTCTGTGATATATTTTAGAATAGAAGAATTCTAACGGACAATGGCAAAACAGCCTGGGAAGCAGTTTATAGTAGGGATGCACTTGGTGGTGGTTTTGCGGGTACGCGGTTATCCGGCCCATCTTAAAAATTAAAATTTTATTTTAAGAAACATTGAGGAAATGGGCTCTTGCAGTCTTTCTGGATAGACAGGCTGTAAAACCGTACACCATTTCGCAAGAAAATGGAAAACCCGCCTTACGAATCGAAGAGGGTGATGTGATATGGATTCCTGTTTATTCTATACACAGAGATCCCAAATACTATCCGGATCCGGAAAAATTCGATCCAGAAAGGTTCAGCGATGAACGCAAACATGAAATAAAACCGTTTACTTTTCTACCTTTTGGAACAGGTCCAAGAAATTGCATTGGTAAGACTTTTACGATAGCAGGCATTACTTAAAGAGTTAATTTTAATATTATGGTCATTTAAGGTTCAAGATTTGCACTCTTGGAAGCCAAAATCGCTTTGTTCAATATTCTAATCCACTTTGAGGTCGTTCCAACCAGTAAGGTTACGCTGCCTTTAAAGTTAGATGAAAAACTATTTATGCCACAAATTGAAGGCGGATTCATATTTAGTCTAAAGAAGATAAAAACAAGTTTCGGTGATTATCTCATAAGTTGAATAAGAATTTTAGAGTAGATTGTATGAATTTTGTGATAAGTTATTACAAGTATACTATTGTTGAAATATGATAAGGAAATAGTAGGTACAAATTACCGATATTAATTGTATTTGAAAACTGTAGTAATAAGTTATAAAATAAACATTTCAACGTATTTTTGTATAAAGACTTTTTCAGTTCCAAGGCCTTGCTTTGGTCATCACTAATAATGAAATGCCTATGGAGTAAAATTAAAAAAAAAATATATAATACGGAAATGCAAGAAGTTCCTTTGCTTTTTCTGGTTTTAAAAAACTTTGAAACTTACGCTAAAACTTAATTTCAGTCACTATTAGGTGAAATTATCCAATATTTATTGCCACAAAATCTATTTACCTAATTGTTTTCTATTTTCATTGTTGTATATTCCCGTCGTAGTTTTGATAATTTACAGATTAACATAAATATCGACGAAAATGATGCAAGGAATTATAAATACTGAGACAGTTGTTTATTTATACACATAGTTAATGTGATACGTCTTATCGTTTTCTCGTGTAATTTAAAATAATATACCTATCATTTAACATTTATCTAGGATAACTAACCAATTCATTTTCAAGGCTACCGGCAGTTTATTAATTACCATAATAGGCATGTAACTACTGCGTTTCAGTCGCTTTTCATCAAGCTCATCGGTCGCAATTGCAACAGTACAAGTGCAATATGTTTCTGTTATTAGTCCTCGCGGTGTTAGCGTTATTGTACTATTTGTACATCAAACCATTATGGCATTGGAAAAGCAGAGATGTCCTGTTCGAAAATCCTATCCCTGTGTTTGGAAACATGATGAAACCTACTCTAAAAATGGAACATATCACTACACTTATTCATAGGATGTACAACAACTACAAAGATTCACCGTAATTCCTTGGTCATTATTTATAATGCTTTTACTATGTACATATAATAATCCTCAAATTTTAAAAACATTGCTTTACTGTGGATGTTAGTAGAGTCTGTTCACTTAGAGAAAGGTACACTAAGTACGCGGACTATCCTAACGGGCGTAACTGCAAGCAGTCACTTACGGCGTTAGTGACTTATTACGGTTGACTTTTGTTAGGAAAAAATATATACACACAACCAACTTTAACTACTGGATTTACATCTGATAATGACTGACCGGCAATCCCCATGCCTACAAACAATATTTGTTTGTGCTCATCGTTAACGCTGTACCTTTCTCTAAGTGAACGGACAATAAAAAGTAGCTTTTATTCAAATCCATTTTACTGCTTTACAGATACTTTGGAATTCTGAATTTTCAAAACCCAATTTTAGTTTTAAAAGATCCTAAATTGATCAAACGAGTCATGGTGAAAGATTTTGACGTATTTTCCCGCCACCTCGCAATGGCCGATGAGAAAATCGATCCGCTTTGGAGTAAAAATTTATTTTCTATTCAAGGTATATACGTAAACCTTAATATTTATTTATGAGACTTCAGAGTCTCAGAACCTTTCAAAATATACTAATAATGCCAAAAATTTTTTGTTTTCGTAATTTCTTGTCATTTTCAGATGTTCATAAATGGCGTCACCTTCGAGCAACGCTATCTCCTACATTTACAGCTAATAAATTAAGAATGATGTTTGATTTAATGCAAGAATGTGCCAAAAACTTTACAAAACACTATCTCGAACAGGAAGACGAGGTTTTTGAGGTGGATATTAAAGATGCTTTCCGGCGTTATGCTACTGACGTAATTGCAACAACTGCTTTTGGAATTACATGCAACTCATTGAAAGATCGAAACAACGAATTTTATATAATGGGCCTGGACGCTAGTAATTTCGATGGCATTCGGTTTCTTAAGTTTCTGTTGTACAGCATAAGTCCTTTACTGACAAAGGTACGCATTCTGTAAACAAAATTCTTTTGGCGGGTTGCGAACAAAACTCCTGCGAGGGACGGAAATTGCGCGCGCAAGTTTTATCGGCGATTGTCAAATGTAATTCAATTAAGTAATTGATGTAAACGGAAGTATAACTTTCCCGCGTGTGAATAAGTATGAGTCATCTCTTTTTAGTGATCATAAAGCGGTTGGACACGCACTTCCATTCTTTCCTATCTTGAGCATTTCCTTAAAACTAGAGCATCCCACATTCTTAACTATTTGTGAACAGTAATTTAATCTAGTTCTACCTCTACTCCTCTTAACTCCCGTTTCTGCTTCTAATATGCCTTTGAGCAGTCCTTCATACCTGAGAAGGGGTCCTACCAATCTATCTCTTACTTTTAGTTGTCTTAGTAACACTTTTAAATTTATTGCTATATAAAGTGATTTTCTAGATACTAAGACTGGGGATCTTTAGCAAAACAGTTTCCAATTTCTTCAGAAAAATAGTCTCCGACAATATCCGAATGCGCAAAGAACAGAACATCATCAGACCCGACATGATACATCTTCTAATGGAAGCAAGAAAAGGAAAGTTGAAGAAAGAAAAATCGGAACCAGTAGATCTAGAAGCAGATAGTTTTGCGGCGGTAGATGAATCAGAAATAATAAAAAAGGAAACTGACTGGCAAATGGAAATTACTGACGAAGATATCACAGCTCAGGCAATGGTGTTCTTTTTAGGCGGTTTTGATACTACATCCAGCATGATGAGCTTTGCCATTGCGGAGCTTGCTGTAAATCCTGAAATTCAACAGAAGTTAGACAAAGAAATAAGCGACGTCTTCGAAAATACGGGAGGAAAAATAAAATATGAAGATATTAACCGAATGAAATATCTGGACATGATCATATCAGGTATTACATTAATTAATTGGCGGGCGATTGCTTCACACAGATAAAATTATAATGTTTAAGAAACGTTGAGAAAATGGACCCTCGCGATACTTTTGGATAGGCAAGCCGTAAAACCGTACACTATTTACCATGACAATGGAAAACAACCTTTGAAATTAAATGAAGGTGATGTCGTGTGGATTCCTACCTACTGTATACACAGAGATCCCGCATATTTTCCAGACCCCGAAAAATTCGATCCAGAAAGGTTCAGCGATGAACGAAAACATGAAATAAAACCATTTACTTATTTACCATTCGGAGCGGGTCCAAGAAATTGTATCGGTATGATGCTTGCAATATATGTCACTGTAAACAACTTTCAATTAATAAAACAGAATATTTTTGTTGCTTAAGGTTCACGATTTGCACTTTTGGAAGCGAAGATTGCTCTGTTTAGCATTCTGATTCATTTTGAAGTTGTGCCAACTAAAAAAACTATCCTGCCTTTAAAGTTAAATGAAAAAGCAGTAACACTGCAACTTGAAGGAGGATTCATATTTGGTCTTAAAAAGAAGAAAGCAAATATGGGCAATTATCTAATATGTTGAATAGAATTTTATGGTAGAAAGTACCTACCAATTTCGTTATAATTACATTAGGTTTATATAGAAATAATAAACTTACACCAATAAATTATTTATTAATATTAACAGAAGTTTGTATTTGAAAATAGAAGTAACACATAAGTTTAAATTGGACTTGTAATAGTACCCTTAAACCGAGATAACAATGCTCTCAGAGACGCTGAAAGACTGTGAGACTGGAGAGAGACTGAAAATTTTTGTCTAGGGTAAGTCTCTACTAATTATTTTTGTCATATTTTTCATGTATCATACAAAAAATAAATAAAATTGGATCATTCTATTTCTAGTAAAGCAGGACATGCCATAATTTTGATAATTTGATCGGTTTGGATCAATTATCCTGGATATTCTGGTAGTGCAAATGTGGCGGTCGATTTATTTTTAGTTAATAAACAATAAACACTTCACAACATGATGCAATGTTGTTACTTTCAACTTGGGAAGGCCGCTTTCAATCGAAAATTCCAAACACACTATCGGTTGTGTACTGTTCATACTTAATCTACGTTGATATGCGACCAGATAAAAACTCGGACGACAAAGTTAAAAATACATTACACTATAAAACATCAAGCGCATCATCGTTTCTCGCTTTAAGTGGCAAATATTTAAACAAACTGACCCATGGTTTCAAGGCTGGGTGTTGTTTACACGTCTATCTCTTATTAATCACATCAACCGGTTATTGTTCCGATCTTTAGTTTGTGTTTTAAGTGAGTTACTGCTGACGCTACGTAGTGTGTTTTAAAAGTGCAATGTTTTTGTTAATTATTGCTGCAGTGTTCGCGTTATTCTTGTACTTTCTGTACTTCAAACCGTTATGGCATTGGAAAAGTAAAGATGTTCCCTTCACAAATCCCGTTCCTGTGTTCGGGAACATGGGAAAGGCAATTTTCCGAAAGGAACACATGATGACAATCGTAAAAAATATTTATGACAAATTCCCAGATTCCCCGTAATTATTTAATACGTTAAAAGTACCAGTAGAACCACCCCTGTTAACCTGCCATCTCGACAACGGTTCCCAATTTATTCTGGCTATAGAACCCTGATTGATCTAACTTTTCTCGGTGGAACTCCATCTCGATAGTAAAAAAGTAAACCGACGGTAATTTCATTTTACCTGTTTGCTTGCACTGTCGGAACCCCTGGGACCCTTGCATGGAACACCAGGGTTCTGCAAAACACCACTACCACTGACGTATGTAATATGTATGCCAGGATTTTATTATACATTGAAAAACAGAAAGATAAGAAGGATGTAAAATGTACAAATTAACAATGATATCATTTTATTTTCTTTTGTTTTTGAACATTTCTCGAAATTTTAAGAGCTAAAAATCTCCTTCGTCCTTTTCTTTTTTCTCATTAGAACGGCTAATCCGAAGGACAGGTAATGCCTGGCCGATTAACAGGGGTTTTACCTACTAATCCTTAGACAAAAATTTTTAGTCTCTCTCCAGTCTCTCAGAGTCTTTCAGCGTCTCTCACGGTCTTGCACAGTCACTTAGTTATTGCCTAGGTGTTTTTATGGATCTCTCACAGTCTCTGTATGAGAGACTCGAACGATAAAATTGTTAATTCAGAGATTCGAGTCTCTCACAGAGAGACTGCACAAATAAAACTGAAAAATTGAGAGACTCGAGTCTCTCGTAGAAAGACTGGGATCTTTGAAATATGTTGAACGTAGAAAAGTTTAACAAAGTCTATCGAGACACCACTTATTGAGAGATTCGAGTCTCTCGTTCAGAGACCCTAAACAGTTTTTTTTGACAATCTTTCGACAGTCTCTCTCAGCGACACCAGAGAGACTCGATGAGAGACAGAGACTCGAGTCTCGCTTTCAGAGACTCTGAGATACTGAATATTTTTATCTCGGAATGGTAAAACAATGCTAAAATAAGTACTTATGGTAACTTTACAGATGTGTTGGATTTATCAACTTCCAGCAGCCTATTTTAATTATAAGAGATCCAGAATTAATTAGAAAAATTGCGATCAAAGATTTTGACGTCTTCCCTGGTCACAATGCTATTGCCAGTGACGACGTTGATCCACTCTTGAGCAAGAATTTGTTCTCAATTCAAGGTACCCACATACGTAACAGCAAAAGAAAAAACTTTGCGTTAATGTTTTGATTAATATATGTAATCAATTGTCATTTTTAGATACGCAGAGGTGGCGTCATCTTCGAAGCACACTATCTCCGTCATTCACAGCGAATAAATTAAGACTTATGTTCGATTTAATGCAGGAATGTGCTAAAAATTTTGCCAATTACTATCTTCAACAAAATGATGAAGTTATCGAGGTAGACATGAAAGATGCCTGTGGGCGCTTTGCAACGGATGTTATAGCTACCTCTGCGTTTGGTATAAAAAATGATTCATTACAAAATCGAAATAATGAGTTTTATCTAATGGGAAAAGATTTTATCGACTTTACTGGGCTAAGAGCAATAAAACTTTTTTTATTCGGTTCCGCTCCAAAGCTTATGAAGGTATTTTCATTAGTGTAAAGTACATTCTTAAGTAGTTGTACAGATACTACAAATTTCGTAGATTTTACGAATAGGAATATTCAATAAAGAAGTTACGGATTTTTTCCAAAACATTGTATCAGGAAATATAAAAATGCGTGAAGAACAAAACATTGTAAGACCAGACATGATAAACCTTCTGTTGGAGGCAAGAAAAGGTAAGTCTAAAAACGAAAACACCGATCCTGCAGATGCCGAAGCAGAAGCTTTTGAATCAGAAGAAGAATCAGAAAGGACACAAAAGGATGCCACTTGGCAAATGGAAATTACTGACCAAGATATCACAGCTCAAGCGCTGATATTCTTTTTGGGTGGCTTCGAAACGACTTCTACTATCATGAGCTTTGCATTCGCCGAACTTGCTGTAAATCCTAATGTTCAGAAAAAACTGAATGAAGAAATAAATGGGGTGTTTGAAAGAACAGGAGGGAAAGTAAAGTACGAAGACATTCAGCAAATGAAATATATGGATATGGTTACATCAGGTATTACTTATATGACCACATAAGGTGTCCTATCATGTTATCTCTCGTTTTTCTAATTGACTTTCACAGCGGTCTCTGTTCTCCTACTTTTTCTAATACCTTCTTATTTCACATCTTTCCCATCCATGATATTTTCAATATCCCTTTTGATTGCCTTTCATGTGATTGTAAACAGAATTTCAATATCTAGGATTAACTAAGCGATAATATTTAAGAAACCCTCAGAAAGTGGTCAGGTCTGACGGACAGAAAGGCTGTAAAATCATACACCATTTACCAAGGTAATGGTAAGCAACCTTTAAAAGTCGAAAAAGATGATATGATATGGATTCCCATGTACGCTATACACAGAGATTCCAAGTATTATCCAGATCCGGAAATTTTCGATCCAGAAAGATTCAGCGACGAGAGAAAACACGAAATAAAACCATTTACCTACTTACCATTTGGAACTGGTCCAAGAAATTGTATAGGTGAGAACGTTTGTAAAATATATTTTTTCGAAAAAGTATGTTTTTGTTATTTAAGGCATGAGGTTTGCCCTTTTGGAGGTAAAAATCGCTCTATTCAACATTCTACTTCACTTTGAAGTTGTTCCAACAGGGAAAGTGAAAATACCTCTCCAGCTAGACAAAGCTCAGTTTTCGCCGTACCTCGATGGAGGATTCATATTCGGACTTAAAAAGAAGAAGGCGAAAGACAAGAAATTATGAGAAAAATACACAGAAGCAGCGTTCCTACAGGACTTCATTCGAAGTTGAAGAGAAAACGATTATGATTTATGTCTTATAAGTATGAAATGTTAAATAAAAAGGAAAATAAACATAACATAAAACTATCTGTGTTAACTTCTTTTCGGTAAAGATAGTTAGTTGGATGGGCATATTAATTAAAAAAACATTTTATTTGGATTAGTAGCTAATGGTTTGTATTATTAAAAGCTTCGCTTTCGCGCATAATGCAAAACACATCACATTTTTTTTTAATAATGCAATAAAAGCCAGAGTATAAATTAAACCATTACATCGATACACTTATTTCATTCCAAGGTCGGAAGTTGTTTATAAAAATTATTTCTCTATTATGTTGTAACAAACGTGTAGGATTCAGTCAGTTTTCGACGCGCATCCGTTACAGCACTAGCACGATGTTTTTGTTGTTATCTATTGTGGCTTTTGGGTTAATATACTATTTGTACATTAAACCCTTATGGTATTGGAGAAGCAGAAATGTACCATACGAAAATCCCCTTCCAATATTCGGGAATATGGTAAAACCTATCTTTAGAAGGGAGCATATACTGTCAGTCTTAAACAGGATTTACAGAAAATTCCCAAACGCACAGTAATTATTACAACAAAATATCTTTTTACTAATCTTTTATTTACAACTTGTAAAGCAGCTACTAAAAAAATTGTCACAAGATTGAGGTATTTATTACGTATTTATTTAAATTCCAAATATTTTATAACATTGCAGATACTTCGGGTTTATTAATTTTCATCAAACAGTATTAGTTATAAAAGATCCAGAATTGATTAAAAAGGTAACTGTTAAAGATTTTGACGTTTTTCCTCGTCATAGAGCGATCGCAAGTGATGATATTGATCCACTGTTAAGCAAAAATTTATTTTCGATTCAAGGCATGTAATAACTATTTCTTTAAAACAACTCGAAGTGATTGGAATTTTCCTTTAGACATTCACAAATGGCGTCATTTCCGAGCCACATTGTCACCATCTTTTACATCTAGTAAATTGAGGATGATGTTCGATTTGATGCAAGAATGCGCTCAAAATTTTGCGAATTATTTTCTTCAAAAAGGAGACGAAATCATTGAGGTAGACTTGAAAGACGCATGTCGACGTTTTGCAACTGATGTTATAGCAACTGCGGCTTTTGGAATAACGTGCAATTCGTTAGAAAATCAAAATAATGAGTTCTACATAATGGGCAGGGATGTCACTAACTTCGGTAGAATTAAAGCTTTAAAGTTTTTCTTAATTACTACCAGTCCCGCGCTTATGAAGGTATCATTAGTAATGCCTTCTAATTATTATTAATGCATCAATCATGCCATTAAATTTATAGTTTCTACGGATTGGGCTATTCGGCGATGAAGTCACAAAATTCTTTACTAGAATAGTGTCAGATAATATACGGATCCGCGAAAAACAGAATATTGTAAGGCCTGACATGATAAACCTTCTTCTGGAAGCAAGAAAAGGGAAAGCCAAGAAGGAAAGACCAGAACCTAAAGATCAAGAATTAGACAGTTTCGCAGCAGTAGAAGAATCCGAAATAATCCAGAAAGATGCTAGCTGGCAAATGGAAATCAGTGACCAAGATATAACAGCTCAGGCCCTTATATTCTTTTTGGGCGGTTTTGAGACGACTTCAACAATGATGAGCTTTGCATTCGCTGAGCTTGCTGTAAAGCCTGAAGCTCAAAAAAAGTTACATAAAGAAATAGATGAAGTGTTTGAAAAAACCGGAGGTAAAATCAAGTATGAAGACATTCAACGAATGAAATACATGGACATGGTTACGTCAGGTACATAAAAATATTAAGACCAGGATTTTAAGCGTGTTTAGTTTTTCGGGTTGAGGAGAGCAAGGATAATAAATATCAGAAAAAGTGCTTTGTGTGTCATTTACAGAATTTACTAAATTTAATGTAAAGTAACATTTGTAATTCATTCTACGATTTAAAAACAGTTTCATAAAAATACGAACAGTCCTGAATATTAAACAAAAAGCTCTTTAGACACATTAATATCTGCTTTTGGAAACACAATAACTTTATATGAAGCTACTTTTCATTAGTTGTTTTTTAGCGTATTGATATACGTTGTGGTATGACTTACCAATCCATATCATTTAAGAAACCTTAAGGAAGTGGCCTGCATTTTTGGACAGAGAGGCTGTAAAACCATACACTATTTCTCAAGATAACGGAAAACCACCTTTGAAAATAAAAAAAGGAGATATTATATGGATTCCTGTTTATTCAATTCACCATGATCCTAAGCATTTTCCAAACCCGGAAAACTTCGACCCAGAAAGATTTAGCGATGAACGAAAACATGAGATAAAACCATTTACTTATCTGCCTTTTGGAATGGGTCCCAGAAATTGCATTGGTAAAACGTTAACAATACAGGGTGTCTTGTAAATTGACTAATTATAACATTTTTGTCATTTAAGGATCAAGATTTGCCCTTTTGGAAGCAAAAATTGCCCTTTTTAATATCCTACGACATTTTGAAATTGTTTCTATAGGTAAACAAACTGTGCCCTTTAAGTTAGATGTTACCCAGATAGGACCGAACCTTCGTGGAGAATATGTATTCGGTCTTAAGAAAAGGAACCTGAATGCAGTTAGTAATTAACAAAAGACAATGAATAAATCAAATATAGGTTATAGATACATAAGAGAATTGGGAAATTGGCAGAACACGTAATATTTATATTCATGTTTTATTAATAAAGTAGAAGCAATGCTTAAGTTGACAGCGAGCAATTATTTACTTGTACCTTACTTTTATTTGTTCACAGTGACAATTCATTTTTATTTAATAGGTTTTCAGTAAATGACTAGGGGAAATAAGAATAAATACATATGTATTTACACGATAAATAATTATTAGGTACGACTAATTAGATAAATCAAATACTACCTATTAAATTTTCCATACATGCTTAGGCAGTCTCGATATGGGATTTATAAATACTGCATCGGATTTTAAAATTACAATATTTCGGAAACGGAAGTTTCAAAATTATAAGTGACAGACAAAACCTTTACCTTATTTTCGTTTTAAAACTGACCTAAACCAACCGAACTCTCACAGTATTTTGAACAAAGCTCTAGGCTGCATTTAATGGAATTAATTATCTCTATCTATCGTCTATTGAATGTGAAGCGGTCGTATGTCTACCGCTTCAGTTTCGCGACTGTGTGTCACCGGTCTTAATAATAATTATTGTATTGCATTTACGTTTGCACATGAACGGACTATAAATGTGAATAAAAACACATCGCTGAATTTATAACGCGTACGTTGATGACACTGATTAGGCGACAAATAAAAAAATTAAGACTATGAAGTTGACATACAGTAGAAACTTGAGTAATAATCACCTCCTGAATCGCGACTGGGGCGGTTAACTAGATAAACGCTCAACACAAATTTAGCAATAAACCTTTATAGACCTACGTATCATTATTAATAACAAAAGTGTGCTACAATAAACGTAAGATAATAAGGTGTAAAAGCATGCATGCTTTACAATATAAATCGATCAATTTCTTGAAGCGGAAATGTTACGTACTTTACGGAAAAGTAAGACCTGTGCTGATGCATTTAGATAACATTATTATGATTTTTTTTGACTATTCTCGATTAATGAGAGTGACGGTTGAACGACTGCCGATTAAAATCGAGATTCCACTGTAGGTATCTATTTCATTTCAAGGCCGAAAGTTGTTTACGTTAATTATCTTTTCATCATTGCGCTCATTGCATCAAACTAATATAATTTAGTTTTCATTTGAGGTGTGCATCGCTTATAGCAACAGTAGCTCCGCAATGTTGTTTTTATTAATTTTTGCGGTGTTAGTGGTACTGTACTATCTGTATATCAAACCGTTCTGGTATTGGGAAAGCAGAAATGTACCCTATCAAAATCCCGTTCCGCTATTCGGGAATATGTTTAAACCTATATTTAAAAAGGAACAACTGATATCAATCGTTCAAAATATTTATACAAAGTGCCCTGATTCACCGTAATGTGTAATAACTTATGTGTATCTACATATTGAACAAATATTAAATTTTTTACAGATACTTTGGCTTTATAAATTTTATAACTCCAATTTTAATTATAAAAGATCCAGAACTGATTAAAAAGATCACAGTTAAAGATTTCGATGTGTTTTCACGTCACCGAGCTTTTGCTAGTGAAGATATGGATCCACTATGGAGCAAAAATTTATTCGCTATTCAAGGTATTTAAATTTCGTGTCACTGAATCTATTTAATTAATGTGTTCATTTCTTTACTGTATAATTAAAAAATCCGAGCCAATCAGGGGCAAAACAAAATTATCATAACAAAACCAACACCGACGTTTCGTTCCTAATTTGAGGTCTTTTCATGACTGCAATGAAAAGCCTCTTTTTTGCCTCTGATCGGCTCTAATTATTTTACTATTTCATTAACATTTTCGCTATTACAGATTTTCATAAATGGCGTCATCTCCGTGCAACATTGTCCCCAGCATTTACAGCCAGTAAACTAAGGATGATGTTCGACTTGATGCAAGAATGTGCGAAAAATTTTGTGAATTACTATCTCCAAAAAACTGAGGACGTTATTGAGCTAGATGTTAAAGACGCTTGTCGGCGTTTTGCAACTGATGTAATCGCAACAACTGCCTTCGGGGTAACTTGCGATTCGTTGAAAAACCAAGATAACAAATTTTATTTAATGGGCAAGGATGTGACTAATTTTGAAGGCATTAGGGCCTTAAAAATTTTTGTGTACAATAGCTGTCCAAAGTTGATAGAGGTAGGTATTTCGAGTACAAACTACTAGAACTCCAACAGAATTCTGTTTTGAACGGTAGTGATAATCTTAAAAATAAAAACAAGGAAAATATGTTAATTCTATGAATTTCAACAAAATTCAAATCCAAAGTAATTACATTTTTTATAGTTACTACGTTTAAGCATATTCGGTCCACAAGTTACAAATTTCTTTACAAAAGTAGTATCAGACACTGTCCGATTGCGTGAAGAGCAGAATATCATTAGACCTGACATGATACATCTTCTCATGGAAGCAAGAAAAGGCAAGCTCAAGAAAGACAAATCGAACGATTTGGAAGTAGACAGTTTTGCAGCAGTAAATGAATCAGAAATTGTGCAAAAGGAGGTCGGAGGTTCGACGCAAATTACTGACGAAGAGATGACCGCACAAGCTCTGATATTCTTTTTTGGAGGTTTTGATACGTCTTCTTCGTTGATGAGCTTTACTTTTGCGGAACTTGCAGTAAATCCTGACATTCAAAAGAAATTATATGACGAAATAAACGAAGTGTCGGAAAGAACAGGAGGGAAAATAACGTATGATGACATTCACCGGATGAAATATCTGGACATGGTTACATCAGGTAATTATTAACGTGATGCATAGAATGAATTCAAATTACATTACATAAGTCTAAAATTTTAAGTTTTCTGCGCGAAATTTGCAGAAAAATATACGAAAGCGTTTTTATTTTTAAATAATCGTAGATGAATACCGAGACCTTTGTTACATATGTGACACCTGCGACCTACTTCCTAACAGCGTTAAGTTTCATATTTTTACCTTGTATAAAATTTTGGAATAAATTATTTCAGAATCATTGAGAAAGTGGACTCAGGGAGTTTTTTTGGACCGCGAGGCTGTAAAACCGTATACCATTCCCAGGGATAATGGGCAGCCACCTTTAAAAATAGAAAAAGGGGATCTTGTATGGATTCCTGCGTATTCTATACACAGAGATCCCAAATATTTTCCAGAGCCGGAAAAATTCGATCCAGAAAGATTTAGCTATGAACGAAAAAACGAAATAAAACCATTCACTTATCTACCATTTGGAGCAGGTCCCAGAAATTGCATTGGTAAGATGCCTGATGGTTGAGAGTATAGATCAGGTGCCAAATTTGGCATCAGAATTTAATATAATACATTAATAACAACAATTTGGTATTTAAGGTTCTAGGTTCGCTCTTCTCGAATCAAAAATTGCGATATTCAACATCATACTTAATTTTGAAGTTGTTCCAACAGGGAAAGTAACGATTCCCTTAAAGTTGGACAGTCACAAAATCAGCCCACAACTCGAAGGGGGTTGTATATTCGGATTTAAAAAAAGAAAGACAAAACAAAATTAATATTTTTAAACAACCCACAGTATTGGTTGGTGTATGGTTTTTAGATAAGTAAATTTACAAATTATTTTTTATCTTTTATTAAGTAAGTATTAAAAATTCTGTATCAATAATTAAATTTTTTGCGTAAATTCTCCTTGACGCAAATCAACAACAATTAAAATTAAATGGTTAATTTAATAAATTACAATTTAAGTTGCTGACATGTAAAACACTTTTCCATAGGCTAATTGGATTTAATAATAAGTATCTTGAAAATTACAAATCATATCATAAAATATATAATTTCAAATGTTCAAAGTTCGATAAATGCGTTATTTTTTGCAGCAAAGTCAGAAAACAAGTCAGATAATTGTTGAAACAATTACTGGAACAAAGTAAAATATGCAACTAAAATTATTAAAAAAATACCAAAAAACTTTTGAATACAATAAAAGAAGAAAGGTAAAAGTAGTTATCATTCTCCGTGTGCAACTTAAGTAATCTTGTTTAGCACTGTTAAATCGACGAAATTGTCTACGGCGTGCTGATGAGATACAAAGAAATCGGAATCGCGATCTGTTGCCTTCAACAGATCACTGATTAAGAACTTTTGTTGTAAACGAAACCGGTTCAAGAATACAGTCTTGAATATATATATTTGTTTGTAGATTGCGCGGGGGTGAAAAAAATAATTTCCATTAGCGAAATCAATTGATATGGAGCGCACACGCAACGAAATAATAAATAATAGGTCATAGCTCATCGCCTCTTATGGTAATTATTTATTAAGGACGTGGACCGTAATTGTGTGTATTCAGTATATCACTGGGGCCCCCCCGATTAATTTGCAGTAAATCATTAGCATACGAAGCAGGATAGCTCGCGATTGAGTTCATGCAAACGGCGGCGGCTCGCAGAACGAATAAATTCATATTTCGCAATAGCGCGGGACTCCTTTTAAAAACTCTATCGTGCACACAAACCATAAACTTGTCGGCGATATTCATCAATGTCTACAGTTTAATCATGATTCCGTAATTTAGTTTTATTAATATACAACTACTGCTAAATTATATCGCCTATACACATTTTTTTTTTGTTTTGGCCCGTACGATGTATTTATACAAACACACAGACACAGCGGTTGCGAGTATACTTAATTGAATGCAGGCGTTATGAAATTGCAATTATTATTGCAAGATTCGATATTGCTAGACATGTTATTCAAAATATTTTATTACTTTTTACCGTATTACTTTTGTTTTTAAGAAGTAAACGCTAGTTCATTCAAATAAAACTGCTCAAATGTGGTTTGACCAGTGCATTAAGGGTTAGTCAATATGTCTGCAATGGAAATCGGTGAAGCTGTCTCCTCTGATAATACGATAATAATAATAAAATCGTAACATATATCCTGTCAAGGAAATAGACCAGGGCTTCGTGTAGGGCCTACCAACCTATCTAAATTCAATTTTATATATCGTGATTTCTGTAAAAGACATGGCTCTAAATCTGACTTTCTCATTTTGAAAATTAGTGCACCAACAGAATGCAGATTTTTTAAATTTATAATTTTTTTTTTCTTTGGAAATGATTGTTCATTTTTATTTCAAAGGTTACTTTGGAAGGATGTGAAAAGATACGCTACTGCGATCGTCCGTGCATACATATGTATGTATTTAGTTATTATTACAACAATTTGAAGCTGTCGAAGTGATGCAAATGTTAATTATATAGTTATTTCTCAAGTTTCTCTTGCACTAGTAGGCAATGGCACGTATGGATACGCGTGTGTATGTAAATGCTTCTGTATTAAGTGTGTACATGCGTACGAACATATCTACTAAACTGTTTTAAATGGTTGTGGTATACAATTAAAGGTATACGTAACTGAGTTCGTTGAACAATAATAAGCAATTTAATACGTTATATCAAATTAAGGCTTTCTGCTTCATAATAACCACTGATTTTATCAGTCCCTAATTTGAATGAAACTTACTTATTATTTATTACATATGCAAACCATTCCTCAGCGGAAGCTTAAATAACACGAATAGTTTTAAATTTATACGATCATCCATTGGCGAAGAGAGACAGACTTCCTTCTAGAGAAAAACTCATATTATATTATGAATAATAATTAATTCTGGCATACTCGTTAATAGACCAGTTCAAATTGCACATGCCAATACATTAAAAAAAATGGAAATCCAGAAAAAGAGGACACTACGTTTTAATTTTTCGATTTTATTGATCGCGATTTCGAATTTATTTATTCTCATCAGCACGCCTGAATAGTCTACGATTTAACTGAAATATTGACAACTATCGAAAATTGGAACTAAAGTATTACAGACTACTGGAAAAGCACACAAACCAACAGTAATTTAGATAGGGTGTAACTGACCCTTATGGTGTAATACAAACAATTCGTTGGATTATATGCAGATATTACAGGATAAAAATTAAAGATATATACTGCATCAATAATATTTTAAAATCAGAATGAAATTTTGACGACTGTGCATAATTATTGTTGATTGTGCGTCAGTAACAAAGTTTGGATACTTTGTAAAATGGTTACATCTTTTAGATGGCATAGATAGCGCTTGAATAATTATTTTGTGACTAAAGTGCAAACCACTGCAAAATCACCCAAAACAATATCTACTACATGGTTTGTGCAGTATCTACAATATTAGGTTAAAGTGTATATTATAGTTATTGTAGCGGTACAAAACGACCAACCAAAATACAATTTTGGCAGATAATACGGGGAAAAAATATAAAATGTATCATCAGTATCTCAATAAAATCAAATGATGTGTATAATTTATGTTGCTTGTTTCTACTGTTAGTTATGGGCTATTCGGCGATGAAGTCACAAAATTCTTTACTAGAATAGTGTCAGATAATATACGGATCCGCGAAAAACAGANTGGTAAATTCGGCCACCTGTCATCGCCACTAGAAGTGTACGAACGGCCTTATTTGTATATGACAGTTGTTTCGCCTAGCATTGACTTCTTCAGACTTATTTTCAACTGCATACAACATTTTAGTTATTATTACGACATTAGAATATTATAATAGCTCCATAATTATTATAATAATACGTACATAAGCGAAATTTTGTGCCAAGGTTAACACAAATATATTCGTGCTCAAAAAACTAATTTAAATATTAATTATTGTTTTAAAATGCGGGTCGGCCACCGTCCGGCTTGTTCCCTTCAAAAGAATAAGAAAAATCCGTTGCTATCTCTTTTTGTATAACTAATTATACCATTAACGTGGTTATTCATATACGAAACTCAGTTAAATCGAAATACACATATATATGTACTAAGAAGTTTGTTATTTCCTATTACTTCTAACACTTACTTTTTTGCATGTGAATGCGTTAAGGTTGTTCAAATGACGGAATTGTCTAAAATATTAACCAATTTATATCGTTTCTACCGACTATTACTGAAATAAATTCTAAACGAAATTTTTGTTTTCATTAAAAATACTAATTAATACGAAAGTTATAATCAAAAATTGTTATATTTGATCAAAAGAATCACGTAGTATACCACGTAACCGATAAAAACAATTCTACTTTTTTTAATCACGATAAAGGGGTAGGCAAATTGTTTTAAAAGGGTTACTAAAAGTCGGTCAGATATGATTTCATAGTTGCATTTCGGCAAGTATATTAGATAGCGAGGTAGTCCACAATCTCAAAGAACCGATGGAAGGCCTACCTGAAAGGATAATATATGAGACAGCATTGTGTACTAATGATTAGTGCATACCCCCTAGTGCGACGCGATGTTGGCCGGTCAGAAATAGAATCATCTGTATATGTATTATAAATATTAGTATCTTTTAATAAATACACGTGTTATAACGCGCTACCACATCACTCACATATGCAAAATTTTGGATGCAATATCTCTCGGCTAATTTAGAAATTCGAAAGAAAGGGTTAGAAGCGTTCGAAATGTGGTGTTATAGGCGGATGATGAGGATAACGTGGGTAGAAAAGGTTAGAAATGAAGAGGTATTGGAAAGAATAGGAGAACAGAGGACTCTATGGAAGT